CCCAGCGCCTCACTGGAGCCGTCCCCAGTCCCCACGTCCAAAGGCTGGCCACCACCTCCAACCCCAATGCCAGCCGGATGGCCAGGTTCCTGTGCCTCCAGTCTCACTACTGATCAGCATCCCAACGCCGCGCTGTGGCAGCTTCCAGGTCATTTCATTTTAATCAGCTGTACATCTCAATGGGGACAACCAGCTGCGCTGGCGGGCAGTCAATTCCACAGGATTCAAGGAGAGCAAGCAAGGGGGCCGTGTTGGGGCTCAGGACCACCGCCCCCGGGTAGGGGGAGGAAGAGGGGAACAGGCCGGAAGGGATAGATTGGGCTGTCGTCCCTCAGGCAGGCGGCTTCGAGGAGTCCATGACTTTGATACAGATTTTCCCAGTTTCACATCCCATTCTGCCAGTTCATGTTTCTGGTGCAACCCAGGTTGATGTTGTTTTTCTTTGGGAGAGGTAGGAACGAAGACAATGTCCCCACATTGGCTGTTATTCTTCAAGCCCCTTACACACTAGAGTAGGCTGCCCAGGTAGGAAGAGGCCTATGTACACAAGGGAAGCTTGGAGGCAGAAGGTGCTGGCTGAGGTGCCGGCTGCAGGCCCCCGCTTAACCCCTGAGCAACACCGGCCGGGCATTTTCTTGTCCATGAACTTTTGGTGAGACCCGGCCCACTGTACTGTATGTACTGTAGGCTGTGCACTATATGTTTTGCGGTGCTAATGCTGTTCTATGTGGGCACATATTTCCTGTGCAGCATGGGTAGCTCTGGATAGCTCTGTAGGAGAGTGCAACTTTGCATGTTTGTGTGTGCGTCTGTCTGGTTTGGAGTGTGCGCACCCTGGAGAGTGTGCCTGCAGGGGAGACAGGTTGGAGGGTTCTCATGTCTGTGTCTAAGGACCAATGGAGAATCTGTAAGGAGGAAATCGGAAAGGCAGGCCTGTGTTGTGCAGAGAAGAACATCCATGGGTGTTAGCAAACTGCTCTGGGAAAGGTGGGCAGTAGGGGAAAGGGCTATCGAGGTTTATGATGGGGTGAGGTGTGTGCACCACCTGTGGGCTGGGGGCGGTATTTGTATAGCTAAGTGAGTGTGTGCGCGCGTAGCCTCTGTCAGCCCGGCTGTGCCTGCTGCTCCTGTGGAGCCTGGCCCGCCACAGCGGAGCTCAATCAGCCGCTGCATGAATACACTCCAATGGAAAGTTGTGCTCAGCTGACCGGAGAAATCAGAGCCGGCTAGCGCCGCTCCCCTCCTCCCTGGCTCCCTTCTGCCCTCCCTTGGACTGGAGGGCCCTGGGGCCCTGGTACAGGGCAGAGGAGGCTCAACTCAGCTGGGGCCAGAAGGGTGTGGGGATGAGCAGGCCTGAGCACGAGCAGTTAGGGGCTTCCATCAGATGGGCCGGACATAGCCCAAGCCTTTGGGGGGTGCGGGGATAGGGGAAGGTCCAGAAAAGTCCCTGAGGCAGCAGCTAGTGCTCCTGGTGACAGCCACGCAAAGACCGAGACTTAGGCAGGAGACCAAGAAAGCCACAGAGGCAGAGGAACACAGGGAGAGCAAGCAGAGGCAGACCTCCAATGCTTGGGGAGACACAGTAACCACGGGCTGGCCTGGCCGGACTAGCTCCAGCGACCTGAGCAATGGGGTGGGTCCAGAATGCGTTGGGCTGGCCGGGTCTCCTTTCATAAGAAGCTATGGGAGCACTCCTCCCACACAGCCCACGCTACGGTTCTCCACCCGCCACTCGGCCTGCCTAGGCCTGGGCGTGGCCCTCCCAGCGCCTCACTGGAGCCGTCCCCAGTCCCCACGTCCAAAGGCTGGCCACCACCTCCAACCCCAATGCCAGCCGGATGGCCAGGTTCCTGTGCCTCCAGTCTCACTACTGATCAGCATCCCAACGCCGCGCTGTGGCAGCTTCCAGGTCATTTCATTTTAATCAGCTGTACATCTCAATGGGGACAACCAGCTGCGCTGGCGGGCAGTCAATTCCACAGGATTCAAGGAGAGCAAGCAAGGGGGCCGCCGTGTTGGGGCTCAGGACCACCGCCCCCGGGTAGGGGGAGGAAGAGGGGAACAGGCCGGAAGGGATAGATTGGGCTGTCGTCCCTCAGGCAGGCGGCTTCGAGGAGTCCATGACTTTGATACAGATTTTCCCAGTTTCACATCCCATTCTGCCAGTTCATGTTTCTGGTGCAACCCAGGTTGATGTTGTTTTTCTTTGGGAGAGGTAGGAACGAAGACAATGTCCCCACATTGGCTGTTATTCTTCAAGCCCCTTACACACTAGAGTAGGCTGCCCAGGTAGGAAGAGGCCTATGTACACAAGGGAAGCTTGGAGGCAGAAGGTGCTGGCTGAGGTGCCGGCTGCAGCCCCAGGCAGAAGCACTGGGCACCGGGGCAGTGTGTGCCAATGCCCTGGCATAGCAGCAGGAGCGGAGCTGGCCCACAGACTGTCACGGGCCAGACAGGGCGGGGGGAAGGTTAAAGCTGAGGCCTGCTTGCCCAGCCTGAGGAGGTGATGAGGCCCACTGGAGAGTACACCACATGGCACCCCCACCCACCATAGAAGGCACGACCTGCAACATTCCCAGGCTGCGTGAGCAGTCCCCAGAGCTTCAGCCCAGCCTTGCCCTGGAGTTCTGCCCCACAGCCGCTAGGATGTTGACTGTGGCTCTGAGGGACCCAGAAAGAAGAATGGGCATGCAGCTGATAAAAGGAGGTCTGGAGAGAAAGGGGCCTCTTTTCCCTCACTGTTTAAAGGGGCAGGGGCCAGATTCAACGTCACAGCCACAGTGTATCAGGGCAAAGGGTGGACTGGGAAGGCCATAGAGCCCAACTTCCTTCTGCCCTCCAGTCAAAGAATACCCATGCCTGGAAGGGACAGGAAGGTCCATTAAGGGTGATGGGCCCAGTGGTCATATCTGCTAGTTGACTAGAACAAGGAAACCCACGCAGGTCCACACCAGAATCCCACAAGACACATGTCCACTGCACAGAAAGACCCCTGTAGGTGTACTAAAGCCACTGCTTGCAGAACTAGGTACATTTAAATTGCCCAACCCACACACAGACACTTACACTACAGGCTATATACATGAAAACACATACCGAACACACACCGATGCACTGTACACACATATCAATCGTCTCTCTCTCTCTCTCTCTCTCTCTCTCTCTCTCTCGCACACACACACACACACACACACACACACACAGACACCACTTCATATGCAGACCTGGACTGCATGGTGGAAGCCCAGCATTCAGAATGGCACACATCGACCCCTCTCACAATGAGCACTCGTGCCTCTTCCGTGGGGAATCTGTAGGCAAGGTCAGAAAGGGCAGAGTAGAGTGTTTGTATGTGCACACACCTGGGTAGAAACATAGGCAATGAGAGAGAGAGAGAGAGAGAGAGAGAGAGAGATCGATGACAGACAGCGAGGCAGACCAATAGCAGGTGGGTGACACCCAGCAGTGTCTAGGCCTCCGGAAGGAAGGCTGCCGGAGGTCTGACAGCCTCCTTTCTGCAGCGGAGGAGGCATGGGCACTGGGTGCCCCAAACTTGCTTTCCCTGTAGGATATGCTGCGGGAGGGATTTTAATTCCACAAGTTTGACCCCTGCCCCCAGACAAAAAGGCATCTGCTCCCTAGTGTCAGCCGTCAAGGCCCCTCCAGGAGTCACTCCTCAGCCTGACACGCCTTTCCTTCCACCCCCAAATTCTGGTTAGGCAGTTGGGTGGGGTCCATCCAGATGCTCCACGCTGTCTGAGGCAGCCACTTCTCTGGGTTTCCAGGTCCAAAATATGGGTCAGTAAGTGACAAGCCATTTAAAAAACAGAGGCTCATGTTGGGTAGAACCCAGGGAGCCCCTTCTCCAAAGGCCTTGCACCCAGGTCAATATTGCCTGGACCCTGGCATCAAGAGGACTGTTTTCCAGGGCAGTAAACACGCGCAGAGATTCTGACAGGACTTGGAAGCTCTGGAGATTGTCTGGATGCCCTGGTTCTGAATAAGAAGGCGGCAGAAACCTTCTGCTTCACGAAAACAAGGGCCTTTGGGCACACAAGGCCCTACTTGCACGCCCAAGGCACCTGTGGATCTGGCCGCCGCTCTGTCCAGCCCGGTCTGCATACACCCCACGGTGCTGCCAGTGATGGGGACAAAAGGAAACCGGAAGTAGACGTTTAGAAACAGGCGCAAAATTCCAGGCGCGGTATGGTTCTCCCTAATCCCCTTCGCTTTGGAAATTGGACTTTCAAGTGAAGGCAAGTTTTCTGAAATTGCCTCTTTGGCTCCTCCTCGGGCCCTGGCCAGCCTGGCACAACCCAGAGTGGAGGCACCACCGATCACACCATCACTGGGAACCGTGGGGACCCTACCCTGGGCAAGGAGGCCTGGGGCCAGGGGGCCAGGTTAGCAAAAGGAGGTGACTTTTTGGGTTTCATTTTAAAGTGTAAATTGACTCTGAAATGTCTTGGGGTTGAAGGGACTCCAGTAAATCCCAAAGGATGGAAAGAGATTTCAGGGAGATGATGGAGTGCCATCAGGCAAGTTGTCCAGTCACACAGATGCACACACCGGGCAGTGAGAAGGGGATCGATCCAGATTCTAGACCCTGAACTCCTCAAACTACTTTTGCCTTGCTCTCTCTACCCTCCCCACCCAGCCTACAGTTGCATCCTACCCTGCTCTGGGTGGATGCTTAGATTTGGTGACCTTGTGTGTTTCTCCTTTAAAAAAAAAAAAAAGGCAACAACAACCAAAAGCTGCCAAACACTCCCTCAGTGACCCACAGGGGCCGAGGCAGGCTACAATTCCTGGGGAACAGGTCCTGAAGAAACCGGCCATAGCCCCCTCCCCCAATGCCCTCGCTGCCTTTTCTGCTCAGGATTTGGCTTCGGGTCTTTTCCGAAGGGCCCATTTTCTTCCCTCCCTTCTCCAGGAGAAATGCTCAGACCCCGCTTTAAAATTCTGCCCCAGCTCTGGTGGCATATCTGGAGTGGAAGGCAGGCCTGGCCACAACACCTCGGGGGTGCAGCACCCCGGGGATTCGGCACAGGGGCGGACAAAAACACCAGTCTCCAGGAGTAATAAGAAAATGGAGAATACTGTATTTGCTTTAGAAAGTTTTTACATATAGATAAACACGCAGTTAAGATAACAGTAAAAGCGCTCTACAGGGAGTGAGAGATATCACCAAAGCAGCTAGGAAATACTTGAATAGCTTTTGCTTAAGAATACTACGGTCTCACTCTCCGCTTTTGCTGTTGATAGGGTCCCTCTTCCTACCCCAGCCCGAAGAGCACGCCTGAAACACCGAATGGGAGAGGAACCCCCAAAAGCAAAGAAGTGAGCGGGGGAGGGGGGAGAAGGAGGGAGAAGAGAGAAAGAAGGGAAAGGGAGAGGAGAGAAATCAATTATCATATACAGGCAATTTCTACACATATATTACAAACTGGGAAAATGACCAATCATTAAGATATACATAATTCATATAAAATTTTGAAATAAAAATAAAAATCTGTTACAGTCATAACTATTCTTTTTCCACATTTATAACCAGTACCCACACAGGCAGTGACAGAGTGGAGAGAAAAAGGTGCTTACGAAGAAAATGATTGTCTGCTGAACAAAAAAACAGAAAATTGCATCTTGTTTGACCAATACTTGGACTTAAAAACAGAGAGAGAGAGAAAGAGGGAGAGAGAAAGAGAAAGAGAGGAAAAGAGAGAGAGGAAAAAAGAGAGCGCGCAACAAAAGGCAAGAAACATTTTCTACTTCCCTCTCCCAGAGTTCTTTCTTTTTAAACAAATTCCGAAAGGAGATGGCGGTTTTACTTTTTTTCTCTCTCTCTCTTTTTGTCTCTTTTGCTTTTGTTGTCTTGTCATCGTGGTGGTGGTTTTTGTACAGTCGACTCTTTTTAAATCGTTTTAAACTAGAGAGAATATTTTCCCAGATACAAATAAATCGTCATGCAGGTGGGGTGCCGGTCCGTGGGAACCGAAAGGAGAAGCCGTGCTTGTCCGAGAAAGTATACAATTGTCACCTCTTTTATGTTTTCTGCCCACAACATCAGCGTTTGTGACTGTCTGTTGACGTCGCAGTCCTTTGGGGTGGCCGCGATGAGAAATGAGGGTTGGGGGTTGTTGATGGTTTGCGTTAAACTTATTTTTCTTGTGTTGTTTTATATATATTTATATATATTTTGGCTGGGGTGGGAGCGTGTGTGCTTGTGTGTGTGTGTGATGGTGTATCCTGATATCGGTTTGTTCTGGGGCTGGAGGAGGACGAGGAGGAGGTCAAGGAGGAAAAGGGGGATAAGGAGCGGAGGGGGGCGGGGAGGAGGGCGGCCTTGGGCATCATACATCACATTCCGAGTCGCTGGAGGTTACCGAGAGGATGGAGGTGCCGGTGTCCGCGCGCTCCGCCAGGCTGGACACGCTGGTGGTGGGGCTGGCCGCC